ATGAAGACTTAAAGCCCTGCCCCTGCGTGTATACCTGTCATTAAACCCTCTGAGTACTCTTTGAAGTCAATTCCCTCTCAGGATTAGCAATCACTCCTTCGGGCAGTGCATCTCCATTTCCTTTGGGTCTTTACTACTTTCTGCTTTTCGTGTCTTCCTATCCTGTCTCTCTCCATCCATCATTTTTCTGTCATTCCTCCACTGTGGTCACCATTCTTTAGCTTACACTTTCACTTTCTCTGCGTACTATCATCTTTTCTTTGCTGTTTTTCTTTCTGCTACTCTGTTTCTTCCTTTAAAGTATATCCCTACTCTTTCTCCAATCCTAATTCTTCCCTAAACCAACTGGTCCCAACTTGGTCCCCGCCCTGTGCCTTTTGCACAGGAATCTGTTCATGAAGACAGTTTTTCCACAGGACAGGGCAGGAGGATGTTTCGGGATGATTTGAGCGCTTACATTTTTGCTGCAGTCAGACTCTCTGCTAATCTGTATTGCAAGCTGCTCCCACGCTAGCATCCGCTCTGCTCCCACGTCAGATCATCAGGCAATGAGATTCTATAAGGAGCGTGCAACCTAGTCCCTCCGTGCAGTTAACAGTATGGTTCGTCTCCTATGAGATCTAATGCGCCTCTGATCTGACGGATGCAGGAGCTTCATGCAGTGATGTGAGTGATGGGGTTGAACGTTCGCTCTCCGGCTTCTCACCCTCCTGTTGTGCGGTCAGGTGCCCACAAGCCAGGGACCAAACTACTGCTCGCAGGCCCATGAGTTGGGACTGCAGATTCTAAACCATCCAGTTTCTCAATTGGGGGGCAATTTGTTACTCCGCCATGAAATTTGGCAATGTCTGGAGTATTTTTCATTGTCACATGGGGAGGAGAGAGTGCCTGTTACCTCTGCAGCTAGTGGGTCGGGGCCAGATGCTGTTAACATCCTAGATGCACAGGGCTTGCCCCTCCGCCACTCACACAACAAGGAATTGCCTCGTTCTCAGGGACGGCATAGGCCGGGTTGAGAATCCCACTTACGCCAACATGCATCCACCTCTCGACTGGATTTTTCTGATCTCCTGTTTCCAAATCGCAGTTGTTCAACATCCTTTCTCCCCAAGCCTGCCCTGTTGCCATGTCCTTGTCCTAACTCATGGCCGCTCTTCCCTGCATGGTGTCCTCCTTCTGGACGGAATTGTGAATGCCATTCTGATCTCCAACTCTGAGACCTTAGATGGCAGCTAGCTTCTCTCCTCAGCTATCCTGGAGTAAGCCTAGGATCTCTAGACAAATTTTTCTTAGAAATTCTGTTTGTTTCCAATTTCCCCAAATTAATGTAGTCTTAAGCTCTGTGCTTCTGTTACAGAGTCTTCTCCCAAAGCACACCCCTGTGTGCCCAACAGGTGCAGCCACGCCCTCCCTCGGGACCCTCCTCCACTCCTTCCTGCAGCTCATCCTTCATGTCTCCTTCGGCTCTACCTGGCTGCTGGCCACAGAGGCGCTCTGGCTTCTTTGACACTTGCATGTTCTGGCCTGACGTGGCATGGCGTGGCATGGTCGGTAGCAGCTCTTTCACATAAGAGAGGAAGAATATACCTTCTTATTCCTTTCTTTAAAAAATAGTGTTTATGACCAGCAATGCTGGGTGTGGAGTATTGAAGTAAATGAGATCAAAACCTTGTCCCCTCCAAGACGTCCAAGTCTAGTAGGAGACAAGCAAAAACTATCATACCAAAACAAACCAACCTTGCCAAAGAGGTAGGGGGCTGTAGGAGTAAATAGGAAAATCACCTTGTATAAGTTTCCTATCTGCATTAAATTACCACACAGCTTAAGGCTTAGAAATAACACAAGTTTATTCAGTTACAATTCTAGAGGTCAGGAAGCCAAAGTCAAGCTGTGTTCCTTCTGGAGACTTAGAGGACAATGTTTCCTTGACTCTTGGCTTCTGGGGGCCACCTGCATTGCTTGGCCCCTGACTCATGCTCCATCTTCAAAGCCAGTGGTGCAGCATCTTCCAGTCTCTCTTCCCCTGCTTCTTCATCATATCCTTTTGTCTGACTTGACCTCCTTCCTCTTCTTGTAAGCTCTTTGTGATCCCCTTTGCCACCTGGATAAGCCAGGACATTACACCCCATATCAAGATCCTTGACTTAATCATATGTGCAGAGTCCTTTGCCACAAATGGTAATGTATTCACAGGCTCTGGGGTTATGATGCAAACATCTTTGGCAGCTGTCACTCAACACCACAACATCTCTTGCTGCTTGGGTGGGACAGCTTCAGGGAGGAGGCGTGCCCAAATCAAGGCTAGAGAACAGGGCATGTGAAAGCTCTGGGAATAGCGGGTCTGGCACAACTGGAAACTGCCAGAAGTTTGGCAAGGCAGGAATGCCACATGTGTGTCATTGTGGGGAAGGGTCAAATCTGATGTTGGAAGGAAGGCAGAGGTGAATTCAGAGCTTATCTTTAGGCAGTGGGGACCAGAGGGGATTTTGGAAAGTTCTCAAGTAATGATTTTGCTTTACACTGTGCTGTCCAGTCAGTGGCCACTAACAAGCAAGCTGTGGCAACTGAGCATATGAAACGTGGATGTCCAAATTTGAAATATGCAGTATGTATATACAACAACAGATTTCAAAGATTTCAAAACTTAATATGAAAATATATAGAAGAATGAAACTAGATCCTATATTCCAATATACTAAATTAACTCAAGATGGATTAGAGACTTAAATGTAGAACCTGAAACTTTAAAATTCTAGAAGAAACATAGGAAAAATCTAGACCATTGGTGTAGGCAAAGATTTATAAGTAAGACACCAAAAGCAATACGGCAACAAAAAAATAAATGGGACATTATACTAATATATTTTGCACAACAAAGGAAATAATCAACAGAGTAATAGACAACTACAGAATAGGAAAATATTTGCAAACTATACACCTGACAAAGGGCTAATATACAGAATCTACAAATAACTCAAACAAATCACCAAGAAGAAACAACCCATCAAAAAGTGACAAAAGACTAAACAGATTTTCAAAAGAAGATAGACAAATGGCCAAGCAATATATGAATGAAATAATTTCAACATCAGTAATTATCAGGGAAATGCAAGTTAAACCACTGTGAGATAACACCTTACCTCTTTCAGAATTGCCATTATTAAAAAGTCAGACTGGGCGCGATGGCTCAGCCTGTATCCTAGGACTTTGAGGCCGAGGCGGGGATTGCTCAAGGTCAGAGTTGCAAACAGCCTGAGCAAACGGTCTCTACCAAAAATAGAATAAATAATTGACCAACTAAAATATAATAGCAAAAATTAAGCTGGGCATGTGGCGTCATGCCTGTAGTCCCAGCTACTCGGAGGCTTGAGCCAGTAGGATCGCTGAGCCCCAGAGATTGAGGTTGCTGTGAGCAGGCTGACGCCACGCATCATACTAGCCTGGGCAAAAGAGACCTGTTCATAAAAAAAAAAAAAAAAAAAAAAAATCAAAAAACTATAGATTTGGCATCGGATGCATGAAAAAGGAGTGTTTATACACATTGTGGGAAGAGTACACTAGTGTAATCCGCTATGGAAAGCAATTTAGTTGTTCTCAAAAAACTAAAAGTAATATACTGGTATCTAAC